TAGTCAAAAAAAAATGGCTGACACATCACAATCTTCAATTTTCTGAATTGGTCTAGGAGTCTTCTTAACTGTTTTAATGTCACAAGCTAAGATCTTCTCGGCCTTTCACATTAGACATTAAGACCAATTTTCATCACCGTCATTCTAGAGGTCATCTAACCAAACCAATCAACTCAATACTTATGAGGAAAGGAACAAGAACATATTACCCTCCTTCATCCACTTCATAATGCAAAACTATTTTTCGCTCATCGATTTCATCTAACCAAACCAATCAACTCAATACTTACGAGGAAAGGAACAAGAACATATTACCTTCCTTCATCCACTTCATAATGCAAAACTATTTTTCACTCATCAAGTCAGATTTTCTCTAGGATTACTTGCCATTTTATTAAGTCTGGATCACATAGAGTCCCATTCTAACACCTTATACCCGACCACCACGAATGGCCCGAGTACTCTGAGTACACATTAGATTTTGAAGCGAACAAATCATAAATTATACGTACTAAGCGGAAGCTAATCAAATTAAACAACCATCAGACATATCACAGCAGTGGAAAAATAATCAAACATTATACTTCATGCAAACAACAATCATACTTTGTAAATTAATCAAACACTATACTTAATGCAAACAACAATCATACTTTGTAAATTAATCGAACAAGTTATAAGGATAAAATGATCATTTCACCTACATACTTAATTTCATTTAATATTTCTACAATTAACCTCATCATTGTTTATTGGGGTCTATGCTATAAAGATATGTTTTGCATGACAACAAGATGAGACAATTTTTTATAGAATTGAGCAGATTACAGTTAAATTTGTTACTAATTATTTGCATTAACATGTCAATCTACTTTTTAGGTTAATTAATATAAAATTTACAAATATGATGATAATGACTTAAGAGGAACTTTATTTGTCTAATCTTGAAGACAAACAAACCTATTATAAAAGGATAAACTATGTGTTTAGTACCTAAACTATCTGTTTTGGTTTATTTTAGTACCTAAACTTAATTTTTTTCAAAAGTATATATGACGTTTAATTTTTGTTTCATTTTAGTACCACGCCGTTAAAAATTTAATGTGTTTAGTACATAAACTATCAGTTTTGATCCGTTTTAGTACCTAAACTTTAAAAAAAATCAAAACTTAACATTAAGTTTTTAACGAGACACTAAAATGAAACAAAAACTAAATGTTAGGTATGGTGTTGAAAAAAGTACAAGTTTAGGTAGTAAAACGGACTAGAACTGATAGTTTAAGTACTAAACTCATAATTTACCCATTATAAAAACCCTTTCAATTTATCCTTTTATTTTCACCGTAAGATCTACGAGACAATGAGAAAAATGAATATGTAAAAGAAAAAAAAATCATAATATGCTCTTCTCTAACAATAACATGCCAGACTGAGTTTCATTTAAAACTCGCCTAGGCTACTGTTGTTCTCATCACTATCATTTGTTCTAGGTCCAAGGGGACTTTTAGATGATGTACATGCTGAAGTTGGCGTCACAACCGTTGGATTTTTCGTAGGAGATCCATTCACATTCCTTGATCTTGGAGACATGTTGGTTTGCTCTAAAACCCTGATCTGAAGCTCAGTAGGATAATCCCTCATGCAACTAATTCTTGCCCCTGCTCCTGTGCACCACTTGGAGGATAACTGTTGAGCTAGTTGATATGATTTTACCTTATGAGAGTCTATCCTTCTCAGTATCTTTTCCTTGGGTATAGATTTTCGATCTTCCTCATCGTTGTCTTGGCCAAGCAAGTTGATCTTAGTGAATGCAAGTTCCTCCTCAGATAGATATTCTTCAGCTGATGCATAACCATCTTGGGACTTTGGTGAAAAGTTTTGATGTTCGCGGCGGAAACTAGGCGATAACGTTTTCGTCTTCAAGATTTCGATGACATCATGAAGTTTCTGTACTTGGAGGTTACTTATCTTTGAGAACAATCTTGACATTGTTTTAGTAGAATTTTGGGCAGGGTCTTCATCTTCCTTTGGTAAGCCATTGTTCTCTTGAGCTGAGTTTTCATTACTTGTTGCCTCGGTTTGTTGCGAGTCTCCTAGGGTTGTTTCATTACTTGCTTTGCAAGAATTCTTTCTGATAAAAAATTCATCCTCTTCTGTAGGGCTTTTCTGTAAAAAAAACCATTAACTTTATGCATGCTTATCATGTGAAAAACAATGGTGGAATTGTTGTTGTTTACCTTTACATCTGTGAGGTCAACATCGTGTTCTTGAAGAAATGATAAGAACTCTTGGAAATTCTCTTCTGTTGGGAGATAATGTCCACTGTGTGGCCAAATCGCCTGTATAAAGTTGAATGAATCATTTTAATGCATGAAAAATCTTGCACATTGAGAGATGATCAATCCATTTTACCATCAAAACACCCTTCTCCGAGACCAATCTTCCGGCAGCCAAGGTCGCTCCACCAGCCAGAAAACTCGAATGCTGAAAATTGCCCTTGTTTTTCCGTCCAACATACAATTTCCTAGAAGCACTCAGAACAAAAATCCACTTCACCATCTCTGGTCCTCCTGTGGTATCAACAACTTCCCTACTTTGTTTGTACACTAGCTTTTTATCCCTTACTACTACTTCAAACTCATCCCTTTCAGTCTGTAAATCAAAAAGTACATATGTTTCGAATAAACATGATCGTTCTCGTATGAATAGTTTCTTAACCGAGTCGTAAATGAAATCGAAAAGGGAGGTTAAGCTCACTGGACCAAGGTACTTGATGCATTGTTGATGAAGCTTCGACCGAGGGCAACTTTCGAGATGGACTTCTCTACCTTCTCCTATATCAAGCCTACATGTTCATAGATGATAGATTGGTGTTATAAGATATTAAGACGCAAAATTCCTTCCACGATTGAATGAAATCTTACCAGTAAAAGAAGGGTTCTTTACTTTCACAGTGAAGCCATTTGGCATAATAAAATTGAAGATTATGGCCATAACGATGCCTAGGATCAATCTACAGGCAACAAGGAAACAAGATCAACAAGAGCTAACAGTTTACTGAGAGTTTTTCGTTCTCGAAATGGTCATTACCGCCTCGAGCCAGTGTTGCAAAGCAAGTTTTCGAGCCTTTTCGTCCTGAGATAAGCCTTTTCCAACCTTCAAAAACAAGACAACATTGCAGGAACATGAATTTAAAAGCTTACTTAATTACCTTATCCACGACTTATACCTTGGCAGCTCTTATTCTTGCTCTAAACCATCGTGAAACCGCACTCTCCGGTCTTTCGATCTCGAAGAACGATATAGAGCTTCGCTTGAGTTCGACGAAATCCAATAGCTTCCACCTACAATCAAAATGTGAAGAAGGAAACGTTTGGATTCTTTTTATATCCATCTGGTTATGCACTAGGAAAAAGAAGATAGAAACCATTTTTGCTCAACAACAACTGCACAGTCTGCTAACTGCCGCCTTGTTCGGAAACTTTTGTACACCTTTTGCAACTTCAATGCAGCCTGGTATTGCCGCCCTCCGACGTCCGACGAGCCTGAATGGGACTCTTTCTCAGGCATGCCATTTGGTGTTTGCAATGTGTCATTGTCACTATCATTCTCGCAGCTATCTGCTGTAACAGACGCTTCATTTTCGATATCGATATTGGAGATCATGGTCTATGCTTCCTTCTTGCTAAAGCTTAAAGATTTGTCAAGTTTCATCCTCCTTCAACCATATCATTCCACCTCATTTTTTCTAAAACACCACCATTGAAACCATCCGATGGCAACACTTTCTTAATAGCATCATCCTTGGAACTGATGGATTTCAAATGAAATTTTGGGAACAACAATCCAGGTCTCAAGACCTACAAATGTAAACAAAAGCAGCAAAATGATCAGATGCCACGTTGAGGAACCATATCTTCACATCATTTAGACACATTACACTCACAAAAAATCAGATTCTAATCTTAAGAACGTATTGTTAAGAGAAATAACCATGAACCCTGAACATAAACCATAAAGAAAACATTAAATATTGCATTGTTCATGAAAATAAAACCCAGAAATGATAGATATTTTTTTCCCACTACAACATTTAATGCATAGAGAAAAACCAGAAAAAAAAATAACAAAACCCAGATGAAGAGAGAATGTCTCTTTTTCATGTCTATATGTACATATCAAATGAAGAGTTCTTTAGCATATAACATGAAAACTAAAATGGTAGGGCAGAAAGAAAACGTTACCTCAAAATCAAAAGAAACAAAGACAAGAAATGAGTAAAAGAAGAAGAACAAAGGAAAGGAAACCAAATAGGGTGCCAAGAAAATGGGAACTTTGGGTAAGGTACCAAACGTGAGAGGAAGCGAGCAATGTGGAGATGCTACTCATTGGGTGGCCTTGGTGTGATGTTTTCCATCTCTTACATGTCTAAAAACTAGTGCTTTATAAGAAGAGTTAAATATAGGGCAGAAGGGGAGGGAAATATTGGAATAAAATGGAATTGCAATTGAATTTGTGTAAGGTTTGGATATCCACTAAAGTCACAAGGTTTGTTCTATATTAAGGGGTTAGACAAAACCATAATTATAGTGCTAAGATTATTGATTGCTAGACTCTATGTACCATTAAATTTGCAACTATATGGGTTAAATATTTACTCACACCAAATTTTACATATTTTTTAATTGTTGGTTGAGTAAAAATGAATAGTTGAGATTAAAATATTTAAATTAAAAATATGCAAATCACTTTTTTTCTTGTGAAATCTCTTCATTTCCTATTGTTAATCTCAACTAAATGTTTTCATTTATCCAACTATTCACATAAAAATATGTAAATTTTTTTAGTTTTACCTTGAGTAAACGAATTCTACCTCACATATATAAATAGCGTTGTATACTACTGCTAATTAAAACATGTGATTATTATATATTTTGATTGAATTGTGTTGATGGGAACAAGTGAGTTATGTCAGTCGTTGGTAGTTCATCCCTTCTTGTTTAGGTAGAGAGCTGTATCAGGAGGTGGAGCGACCATTGACCGATAATGGAAGTGATTAAAGAGTCTTAGAGAGGGAGAGTGGATTGGTCGAGAAGAGAGAGATAGAGAGACATTTCTTGAGTTGTGTAGAGATTTATATATTGACCTCCTATGATTGACCTATGATTGATGGTGTAAGACCTAGGATCATGATTGTTGTCTTTAAATTAATAAAATGAATAAATACAGTTGTCAATCAATAGATTGGATCTTTTCCAAAAATTTTAAATTTTATCAATTATCATGTCAAGAGGAGATGACAGGTCGGATGATGTTAGAGGGTTCAAATAATTCCATAAGTACAACCTTTGATTCCAGGCGTATTACACTTGTCTTCGGGCGTACAACACTTGTTCCCTTATAAGAAAATTTCATAAAGTGATTTGAACCGAGATTTGTGTGGAGGTTCTCTCTTTGCTAAGGGCTTCAACATCTTTGCATTTCCTACTGAGGGGTCTCAACATGTAACACCTTTTATTCAATATGGGGACCAAACTCGAGTAATATATGTCACATTACATAACTCGGAATCATGACTCACAATTTGAACTCAAATTTAAAACTTTTGAACGAAGATCAGTGACATTTAGTCACATTAAGAATAATTGAAAATAGTTCGAACATGTTAACATGACAACTTATCACATATTAAACCATAGAGGGAATGTAAGAATCAATTAAGGCACTATATTATTTTGAAGGAATTCGATCAAAAATCTATATAACAACCTATTTTGCACTGATGGTATTGATATTCGTACATGAGTATTGGTACTTACTTAACCTAGGATATTGATACTCATCTTGAGTACTGGTACCAGATTTAGCTTCGAAATGAATTTAATTCCCATAAATATTGTCAAAACGTCTTAAAAAATGGGAGGTTAATCCACTTTAAAAAATATGCATCAAAATAATATTAAAATTGTGGTTCAAGAGAGTTGTCACCAATATTTATTAGAGTGTGATTGGATAACACAAAGTTTGTTATTTTAATAAAATTAAAACAAAAAAGTACGGTCTACTTACTTAGAGAATAGATTCGAGAGTCGATTATATATGATGAAAGTTTAATACCACACAACGAATATTGGCATAAAAGAAGAGTTTTGTTGAAAAAGAAGACATCCTTTTAGTCTCCAGAAATAAAATTGCGTATTTTATTATTCGCTTTCTAAATTCTCCTTACTCTTTTTTATGATAATATTGTAGAAATATGAATTTATGGATCTCGAGTGAATTTTTTATATTTGTTTTACACTTGTCATTTTATATGAATTCTGATGCATAAAAATAAAAAAAAAAGTTTATTTCATAGTTATTAATAAGATGTTGAAATATGTAAAAAATAACGTCTTGATTATTGTAGCTAAGAGGAATTGTTTTATTCAGGATAATTTTGTCGTACGACAATCTATTTTAAGAATATGAAAAGGCACAATAAAAAATATTAAAAAAATTGATTGAGCGTATCTTAAAATGTTATTTTTTTAATATTTTACGTTTCAACCGAAAATGTTATAAAAAAGATAATATTTTCAGTTCTCAATACAAAATATTAATAAATAACATTTTAAGTTACACAAATATTAAAAAATTAAAATTTTAGGTTGCGTCGACAAAAATTTATTAAACTTTTTTTAACATTTTAAGTTGTGTTTTCCTTACCCTTAAATTAAGTCACCTTTTATTATACGTTTCCCTTTATTAATGAGTTGGGGAACTTTTTCAGACATAACATACCTACTATAATAATCATCCATTAGTTTTGCTCGTATATTTTGGCACCGTATTACTATTGTAATTTTAAAGGTTATTTTTAAATTATAAATGTCTCTTCATTTAATTGATTAACTAAAAAAATATTTAAACCAAATCAAATAAATTTTTGGATAAAATACACAAATAGTCTCCAATTGTAACCCTCTCAGACCGATGCGGATAACTCGATCCGATCTGGAGTGTCACATTAGGCCACCGGAGCGACTCACTGTAAAAATAGCGGAAAATTTAGAACTTTTATTAAAACATGTAACTTATAAAATGATTTATCAGTATGCATAAATAAAACTGATTTTCAGACTCATATATAAAACAAAATACAATTACATGTCCCCTGATCACATGTATCATACTCTGTAACAACACCGGAAGAACTCTCCTACTGAAGTCGATAATTGCACTGGTACAATTCTTTTAACCTGCAATGTTGAGTAATAGAGCGAGCTTCAGAAAGCTCAGTAATACAGAACTACCAGATGACGCTGAAGAACGTGCAGATACAGAAAAACATATATTTCCTTATTGGTTCAGATATCTACATATTTTTTCTGTGCGGAGATCCTACTGATATTTCAGGGGTAACGGACAATGAGCTTTCAGTTCAGAGAACTATTTCAGATGACTGAGTTCAGGAGATCAGAATAGGTTATCTAGTGTGTTCCCGCAAAACCAATGAAAAGATACAGATCTTTTAAAACATATTTATTATTATTTTTTTAATTCAAATGACCTAATAATCCCTCTAACCGCTACACATCATAATGTGTAGGTTTCCCAGAACCATACACCCAACCGCACATGCTAGTAAGGCCCTGAGCACAAAGCCGAGAAGCCTTCAGATATACTTCCTCCAACAATAAACTCCCCATATAAATATTTCTCCGTCAGTAAACGGATATATCAGGAATCAAAACATAATTCAAATCAGATATCATAACAGAATCCAGATCAGAAATCATAACAGAATTCAGGTCATGTATCAGAACTAGGACTGTAAATGAGATGAGACAGATCGCGAGCTACTCGAGATCGACTCGATTAAGGCTCGATAAATACTCGGATCGAATGGACGCGAGCTCGAGCTCGACTTGAGTTCTTAACGAGCCGAAACGAGCTACTCGGTATTCGACTCGAAAAGCTCATGAGCAGCTCAAAAAAATGTTATATTATAATTTTACATTTTTTAAAATTATATTATTAAAAATACACTATTGATAATTATAAAATTTTAAAAATATATTAAAAATTCTATAATACAACTACCCTCAATTTTTTTTAATTAACCAGTTCAAATCCAATTATTACATTATATATTACTCAAAGAAAAATAAAAGTCCATTTAATTAAGCACATGTTAGATTACACGTGTTTGGTTGATTTTTTTTCTTTTTTAACTTTTTACTGCACAAGTACTTGACAACGTAGAAAAATATTCTTATATTTATTTTAAATTAATAAAAAAAAATTCTAATGACAAATATTTAATATATTTCTAATGATAATATTTTTAATAACTAATTATTTAAATTGTTGTTATATTTTGAGGTTTGGGTTCGAATATCATAAATATCAAGAGTTTGAGACTTTGAGCATTTAATATCAAGATATTATATTGTACTTACCTCATAAATTGGTACGGTACCAGGTCGATTTATTAATGTATTTGCAATGAGCCCTTAACCTTAAACCCTAAATCATAAACCTAAAGTCTAAATATTAAACCCTAAACCTTACATCATAAATCATAAACCCTAAACCTAAACCTTACTCCTTGAACCCTAAATTCTAAACACTTAATTATTAAAAATCTCAATAATTTATTTGGCATTATCATGGTAAATCACATATGATTCAATAGTATAATTTAATATTAAAATAAAATTAATTTACGAAATTTATTTTTATGATTTAAACTTGATGAAGTTTTATTTATACCAAATTATGAGTATTAATATTATTTTGGAATTTAGATTTAGTAACAAGACGAATTATGATCGAACTGAATACATCTTTGTTCGTGTTTTCTCATTTATTAAACGAACATAAAACATTATATTCATACTCGTTTATTTAATTTAATAAATAAACATTATACAAAACATTTTAGCAAATACTTTATTTTTTTTTGATAAATTTATTGAATGTTTTATTTATTACGTCTCTATAGATAAATTGAACATTTGAAGACAAACAATCCAGTCATGAACCATAATTATAATTATAATTATAATTTATTTAAAATTTAGTATTTAAAACCAATATTTACATACAAATATTATTTTTCTATTTCCAAGAAAAGAGTTGTAAAATTTATTTGGTTTCTGATAAATAATTTGTTGAGATCATAGTAGTGGTACCTGACCTACCGAGCGGCGCCACTGCTGGTTCCCATAAGTTGCTTTGCTTCCCATCAGTGAATTCCAAATTGAAAAGAATCCCACATCGGTAACTTAAAAGGGAGAGAATGCTTGAGTCTATTAAAAAAGGCAGGGGTTCTAACCGAGGCGTATCAATTCTGGTTGAAAACTATTTTCAAATCGAGCTTAAATCGAGCTTCAATCGAGTTCGAGTCTCGAGCTTCAATTGAGCTCTTGAAATTTTTTGAGTTTGAGCCTTTTCGAGTTTGAGTCGAGTTTTAAAATTATATTTCAAGTTCAAGCTGAGTTTGATATTTTTAAGCTTGTGAGTTTTCGAGTCGAGTTGAGCGTGCTTCTAAAGTTTTCGAGTTCGAATTGAGCTTAGCAATACTTGAACTTGGCTCGTTTACACCCCTAATCAGAACAGAATTCAAGTCGGAAATCAGATAAAATATGCATATGATTAGGGAACACACAAGAGTTTACGGATATTATTTAAAGGTACTGGATAATCTTATCAGGCAGAGAAACACAGATCTTCAGTATGTCGATAGAATGTTGAAATTTAGAATCACTCTTGTAGGAGATCAATAAGGAATCATTAGTTATTCAAAATGAGACTTGAGCTGATAAGGAAGAAATGAAGGTTCATGACATTTACATTCTGTGTCGATTTATCGGATTATCGAAATAACCCAAGCTTAACAACTTCTAGAACTAATACATGTTGACCGGTCAATTCGTTGTCCTTCCAGGTATTCACTCTTTAATACCAACAATTATTGTTCATAAATCATATTTGAGACATCGCTGAATGAATCTTCCAATGGTTTTTATTTCATTTCATCTCGTCC